GCTGGCATTTCGGATCTGGACTGCCCGTATGGGTGGGACCAGTCTGATATGCATCACAGATGTTCTCTCTGTAATGGCACAAGTTGAGTTAAAATCAGCTTGAGATCTGAGCAGGGACCCACCGAAGGGCAGCCTAATTGAGCTATTGCCCGTTCTCACCTCTCTTGCTATCTATTTTTCTCTCCAACATGTATATATTGTACATATATCCTTGGCTCTTTTTCTCACCCTGACAGGGTTAACCTGATCACGCATGCAAATTACCTCACACAACATCACTACTGACGTCACACAATCTTGTTTCCATTTTCTTCATCCTCTAATCAGATGTTTCTTCTATGTGTATAACCATCACGAGTTCACATTGTAAATTGTCTTGAAAAAAGTCTGCATAGACTGAAACGTCGACTACTTTGTACATCACTCTATTTGCTTAATAAATCAGCAGTTAATATTGATTTTAAAAGACTCCACAGTGCTCTCTACTAGGACTATATACTTTGGTTGGAGAGTTTGCACCGGAGCACAAAAAGACCGTGAACATTGAGTGCTAGGACCAGGGAATATATATATATATATATGTACAAAGGATCAGCGCTACTATCCTAGATCTTACAGAGATAGATTTGCTGTCTTTTCATTTTTTTCATATGGATTTCACGAATATCCCATGTCCATACGTTACTGAGGAATACTTCCCCTGACAAGATTGTGACTGACTTCTTATACAGGGTTTTATTTGGACTTTTTTTTTTTTGCTGCATATATCAGGCATAGACTCTTTTGGACTTAATCTTTGGACTCTTGATTATTATTCATTATCCATATTTCAAGCTCTTTTTGGTTTTTTTATCTTGTATGTATTTTCTCATAGTGTCTTGTATATGTGCTTGGATAGTTTATAAACAGGTTTATTTATTTATTTATATTTTATTTAACCTATGGCACCGCCTCCCCTTTCACCTTTTTCAGTTTTATATATATATATATATATATATATATATATATATATATATATATATATATAAAGTAAATTAATAGAGCACTCCTTGGGAGAAATTTTTCAAAGTATACATATACATATATACCAAACAAACTAAATATTACACTCTGCTAAGAAAAAGATTTGTGCTATGGTGCAAACATTTTCTGGGGGGTTTCCATGATATATATATATACATAGTCAATACAATGTTAAACATATATCTGCACACTGGTCAAGCCATAAGACTTGCTTTTCCCACAGAAATCACAAATTTGCAGTGATGTTACTAATACAATGGATTCTAGGTGGGCATATGCAAATTAGTTCAACAAAAAAAATCACGTTTGCCTCATTATCCCATTTTAAACATGGATTCCTTTGAGTCTATGTTTGCTATGTACAACAGCTTTGAAACACAATTCAGGAAGAGATGCAAAGCCAGTGAAGCACTCATGGACAGCTGTTTCATTGTTAATGCAACTCATCAGCATGAGGTTGGTTACTGGCTTGCTATTGAGGCTTGGCGTTACTTTCAAACCAAAAACCAAGAAAGTTTTGGTGGGGAAAAATTGGGATTGAAAACCCCTTCCACCTGAAGTCTGTGGATAGTTAATACAATGTTAAACAAATATCTGCACACCAGTCAAGCCATAAGACTTGCTTTTACCACAGAAATCACTGCAAATTTGTGATTTCTGTGGGAAAAGCAAGTCCTATGGCTTGACTGGCTCTGGCTCTCCTGGCTGCAAGGAGTGGGACCCAACAGACCCAGGGTAAGCAATTAACCATTCTAAAATGGATGACCACTTACAATGCGGTGCACCTATGAATGCCTGACACCATAACCCCTACAGCCCAAAACGTGGTTTACCATTGGGTATATGATCAAGAATTTCCAGTAGCTTATCAAGCCAACCCACCAGATAGATGACGTGTACGTTAGTCTGCACTTTGTTCTGATTTTAAGATTGTAGTTCATTTTGTAATAATATAAATAAATTTGCAATATAGAATATAGGCATTAAAATTGGTGTGTGTGTGTGTGTGTGTGTGATCTATTCTCTATACATGAGCTTTGTGTCATCTTCTAAAACTTGTTAAATATTGGGTATTTACTTTGTGTTTCCATATTTTGTATATTTTCAGTGCATGATTACATATTAACTATAACAAAAAGTAGTTTACCTACAATTGTAAATTTAGATTTGACTAATTTTAATTTTTGACCTGGAATTATCAATGTTATATGTATTTATGTTAGTTAATTGTTCAGGATTATCTCAAAAAAAAATAATTTTAGAGTGAATGCAACTCAGGTATTTGACACTGTTCATGAAAGGCTTAAATACAAGTTCAGTTCAAAAAGAAAAATCAATCACTTTAATGTAATATAAGAACATGTAAATGACCATAACAGCAAACATACATTTGTAGATATTCTGGGTTTTTTTTATTATCCATGTGCAAACAGGCTACACTGCCTTGACATACTGCCTTGAGTGTACCTAGAAGCCATACGAATGTGATGTTTTTATTTATCACCATAACATTTGCTATAGAAACCGCAAAGTAAAAGCGATGATGTAATTTAAAGCATTCTATAGGCTGTTTGTTTTTCTGCATGGACTGCATTGCGATTGAAGCAGATAATTACTTGTCCTGCTGATATATCCTTTCCTATTCACATAAACATGCAGTCCTACTTTAAGGTTTATTCTCTGAACACTGAGCTATGGTGGGTGAATAATCTGCTTACAACACACTGACTAAAAACCATGAAATTAAAAGGTCAATATGCATATGTTTCTTTAATTTGACTACTTTGGTTTTAATTGTACAAGATGAGATGCCATTTTACAACTCATTTATAGACTGGCCATAGCGACAATGCAGGAGTTAACTATAGCTAGTTGTTCGAAGGCCTTCACTCCAGTATTTTGAATATCCCCTTTCTCTTGATTACTCCCTGCAGAGTGTTTTAATTTGAATCCTCTCCAACGTGAGCTATGCATATGTTTAATGTGTGTTTGCTATATGCTTAACAAACTCAAACTGTGCTACATTGCCAACATGCTTGTCTTGTGTGTGTTATTAAAAATCTAAAAGAAATATTACATTATTAAGAGTAACACATATTATACCAGCTATTCTTGCATGCTGAGCGGGACACAGTTGCTGCTGCAGAGATTAAGAATAGGAAAATGGATGACAGTGACAAGAGAATGTTCCCGTTCTGAAACTCCTTCTCAACGGTTCATTGAATAATATCTTTCATTTCTATGTTGCTATTGAACATCAGTGCACTTCTTATTCAAACAGATAGAGAAGGATCTTATTTCCAAAAAGTGGAGCATTTTGAGGCATTTGAGAAGTCATGGGAACAAAACTGTATAAGATTACACAATAGTGTTCAACATTATGAAAAAAGGCCTTAATTTTTAGAAACTGTACCATACGGTCCCTCTGTTCCATTACTAGTTCTCCTTTTTGATGTAATTTTACTGATTGGTTGTATGGATTGGTTTTTAACTAGAATGACAAGGATATGTTTAAAAGCAATATCAGTTTATATATATGGATCAATGGGTACCTCTTAACGCTTATCAGATCTAATGCAGTCTTTTTAGTCCTATCTTGAGGCTTAGAGTGTATTACATATATATTCTGCAAAGGGCATTATTTATACATTACTTTATCTTGAGTAGTGAGTTGTTCTTAAGGAAATGTATGGTTCAGTGGTATATATTTTAATTGATTCATAACTTACCATTTATGAAGTGTGATAGTCACACTATTGTTTCTTATAAGCATTTCGTAGAACAGAGTCTTTATTGTCATCGTTTGTTTGAGATGGCATGTCATGCGTCCGTGTCAAGTAGCTGTTCATATTACATGATCAAGTATGTTAAAGAAACCAAATTATATAAGGATTTGCAACAGTACCTGGGCACACAATATGATGTATCCATTTATTGCATATGATCATTTTTTAGATACAGTAAAACAAATAAGAGTTAATTTTAAACTTGAAATATTTTAGAAACAACTTAAATACCCTATAGGTGTTTATTTACTGTATACATAATTTTCCATAATCAAGGCTTGCACATATGTTATCCCAAATAATGTATGGGTTCATAAAGGCAAATTATTGATTTACAGAGGCAAAACCTAGCTGCAGATATTGATATACATGATAATTTAAAACAAATATAACTTTAAAGTTTTTTTAATAAGGCAAACAAAAAAAAAGATAATTCAGACTAAAACAATGAATTTAACACTGATTTAGAAATATTTTTTTATATTTCATAATTACAGAAGCAATTTACACCACACGGATAGAAGAAAACAGTTTAACTTATTACGTGCCTCATTAGTGCACTACACATCCCTGTAGCATTTAAGATTAAAATACACTACAAAGACCTGATCTCTCGCCGCTTACAGTTTCAAACAAACCAAAAAACAAACAAACACAAAAAAGATCAGGTACAGTGTTTCTGAGTGTTAAATGTAAACAAATAATATCATCATTGTCCTTGGCAATGTATTGGCATGCATCCATAATATTTCAAAACAGTTTTAAGACGTTTATAAAAGTCTTGTAGGCACCTACAGAATGTTAACAGTGATGTCCTGTTTCTGCATACCATAGCTGCCAATATATTATTTCAGTGTTCAAGTATCTATATAAAATATAACCAGGCATATAAAGTGCAAAGTCTTTGTAAAATGTACAAGCAGTGGTTAGGCCTCTGTGAAAAAAAAAGTCTATGTAAATTAAATTTCAACAATCATTTGATACACATAAATTTATATAACATTGTTACTTTGAGCCTGTACGCTATTTTTGTATATTCTTTTTACTAAAAGTATTACATGGTAATATGAAAAAAATACGTAACAACAATAAATATAAATGTCTGTTTACTTTGTTCTTGTCAAAAAATTTATATTTCATGTATTAAATGCACTACTGATTGGAGAATTATTAAATCCATAAGACTTTGGCTGTACATTTTTCTTAGAATAATCATGGCTTTTTTTGTGTAATGCCAGCATATAACAATACATTCTATTGGTTTGAAGTAGCTGATTATAATTTGTGTGTTTAGGCAAACATCGCTGTTTAACATACCCTACTACCAAACATATTTTAGTGGGACAACACAAGTTGGAGATTGAAGGTGCCTCCTCCGTCTGCAAGATTTTCCAGGGTCCCAGGTAAACATTGATTAAATGAATGTTATAAATACTACATTGAATTTATAATGAGCACATGTGCATCCAGTGGCCGTAGACGGGAAAAAGTTTGAACTCCTGCCACTGCTTCGTGGATTCTGTACTTTTTTCAATGCCTTTGCCATCCTGGAGAATTGTCTTTATCAAGCAAATAATTGTTAGGGTAAATATAATGGTAATGCTTATTTAGTAGATTCTAGTTTTTAAACAAATGAGAAATACTGTGTTAAAAAGTCTAAAAAGTCCACGTAGGAAAAAAACAGCAAAAACATTCCAAATACAATCCTGCTCCAAATGAGCAGGCCCTGAATAAAAATGATTCTTAGAAATGTAGAAAAATGGCACTATTTTCAACATTATCCAGAACCAGTATTTTAGTAAATCTGTTATCAATCTAAATTCTTGTTTTAAATCTTTACTGAGTTTCCTCTATTATTTTCCTCATTCAGGTATGTGAATACACATAATCCCTCTGTAATGATCTTCTTCTCCAAACTTTGATATTTAAGTTTCTTATCATACTATTAAAATATGCTGATGAAGACAAGTGATTCCAACATATGCATCAAGAACACTTGACTAATGGTCACTATACACATTCCAGTTTCCCTATTTCCCTGAATTTAAAAAAAAAAATGTGTTGAGACTTAAAGTTGAGATCTAGTGTCTTCACTAAGTTTTCAACATATATCTAAAAAGTTGAACCTTTAGGGGAAGTCAGTTCAGAAAAACACAAATTGTTGAGGTACCTTGCTGAACTTAATTCAGATTATCGCAGTTGGATATCAAGAGTTTTTGTGTTTGCAACTCATGGGTTGACTTTGATTTTGTGACTAAAACTCATCCATAGAAATAGCAAGAGTGATAATTATATAGATGTAAGTGTATAAATATACCTAAAATCGTCCCCTAATGTAGTTTATTTATGTATTTTTAATGAAACACAGAAGAAAACTTGGCACATTCAGTTAATACTATGGACTCTCGGCACATTTAGCTAATGCTAAGGATTAATTAGTATCAGTGAAAAATGCAACATGTTTTGTGTTGAAATAATATATACTCAAATGATGTATCCATAAAAACTGTATATTCATATGTTCATACAGACATAAAAAAACATAAAAATCCTTTGGTGCTCTCTTTTTAATGTTTTTAAAGAGTCCATAAATAATAGCATTAAGGCAACTGTAGAAATCTGCAATGTACTAATATACAACCATTCTAGAGATTAAGGTAACATTTTATAAGACTGAAAAAATAGTAGAGTTGCAGATTTTTTCCCCTTTTAGCTATTTGTCAACTCATCACAACTCAAAGTAGTTAATAAATAACTCTGATTTTGTTCTTGTTGGCAATAACAGTGTACTTCTAAGACAGAGAGACGCACAATGTCAAGGTAAAAATTGGAGTAATTAAAAATAAATCTAAGAAGTTAGCAAAAAAGGGTAGTGTCAGATTATTGATAATATATTATCAATTTAGATTATGATCCAACATTGGTTAATTGTTGAACCTTTGTTTTAGTTTGGAAGTTATATTACACAATGCAGAAGATAATACGTATATATGCTTTTTGAGTTTTTACTTATTAAATAATGAGTTACAGTAATATGACTGACAGGCTTCTGTCACCTGATTGGTTGGAGATTTTGTATATACTTGTAATCTGTCATTTTAAATTATTATACATATAATGAAATACATTAAACAAGTTAATTTGTCTTATTGATTAGTGCTAAGGACTCTCCAATTCAGGAGATGATTCAGTATATATGGTGACAGTTTGAGTCCTTTAGCATGTCATTGGGTACAATAATGGGGTTTGCTGTTGTGTAAGTGTATAGACACACATTATATTTACATTAAATACTGTATATACTAATGTGTGTGTGAACATATCTGTACGCACGTACATATATTCTACTTAGACTGGTATTCTGGAATTTGTGAAATCTCAGCTATTTTCAAACCGAATCCACCTTTACCTGATTGTTATTTGTCAGCATTGGTGAGGGCTTGCTCTTATTCTTCTCTGCCCCATCATTAGAACTTTCTTGAAAGAACAACTTTGCTGTACAAAGAGAAATAATTATCCTCTTGTACTCTCTCCTGAAATTCTGGTTCAAGAGTCCATAAATAATAGCATTAAGGCAACTGTTGAAATATGCCATGTAATAACTGCCAACAAACAACCATTCTGGAATTCTAGGTAAGATTGTGTCTGGATTAACAGCAACAGCAAGACCTATGAAGTTCAAAGGTGCCCAACAGACTGCAAACAATACAAAGACAACAAACATTGTGACAAAGTTCCTGAAATCATGAGGTTTCAATTTAGGTTTGTTATCTGGTTTTACTCTACGTCTCACCTGAATTACCAAAATCCATATACGTAAATAGCAAAAAGTTACTATAGTTATTGGTAGTATAAAATGGAAAAACACCACCGCTATGGTGTAGGCTGAGCTTACAGATTGTGAAAATGTACATGAGTATATCCTGGCATCATACTGTAATGATCCAACAAAGAGGTTTGGCAAAATGGCAATGAAGGTTAGCACCCAGATTAGTATCACATAAAATAAGGAATTTTTGTCGCTGTACAACTTGTCGTATTTGAGGCTGTGACATATGTAACAGTAGCGATTGATTGCAACTCCAGCAATGTTAAATATTGATCCGATGACGCTTATCCCCATCAGAAATCCACTAATCTGGCAGTGGAGGTACCCTAAATTCCATCCTTTGTGAAATATTGATGTCAGCACCAAGGGATATGGATAGATGGCCACAACCAAATCTGCAATGGCGAGACTTACGACAAATATGTTTCCTGTTTAAAAAAAAAAAAAAAAAGAATATGTTAGAATTTTTATTTTATTTGTTAATGTACTCCAGTGATATATTTTGCAACCGGGTCTGAGGTTGGCCAGTCCTCACAATGGGATTTGCAAAAAAGTAATGATGATCCAGGCAATCAAGTTCAATCCAGTGGGAAGATATATACTGGAGCAAAACTGAAACAATGTTTCGGTCCAGACCAGGCCCTGTTGTGGGCCGAAACATTGTTTTGATTTTGTTTAAATAAATCTAGACACTTCTACACATTATATTCTTTGCAACATTTTATTTTTCATTTGAAAATTTGGATTGTTTCTAAGAGATCTTAACACAATCTGTACAATGAAAAACTTCAATAAAATTATAATTTTCTGCATTTGATGAAATGTATTTTATATTAATTTTAATGTATATGATTGGCAGCTAACATCAATTTATATAACCAAAATCTGACTGCAAAAGCTTGCAAACAAGTTTTTATTGTATTTGTTCTTTTTTTTTTTAATTGTTTAATTAGTTTTTTATTCACGTCAAACAAGAAATGCACAATACACATATACAAAGCCAAGAATGCGGTACATCATATAGGATGAAGTCAACATGTTTCAGCAGAACATCACAAAGTGAAAGCATATGTGGGTTAAGACATTCCTCAATGCATGGAACATGTGTGAGTACATTCAATGAGATTATCGAATTACAGAATAATAATGTGAGTTAGCAAAATCTATAGAATAAACAAAAACATAAACATCTGCTTTGGCCACAAAGCAGTAAGGGGCACACAGTAACCCATGGAGGTCATACTCTTACAGTAACAGTAATGTTTGGTGCAGTAACACATTGTAGCAAAACATTGGGGTGAATCTAAGGTATAGCACTGCACCAATCTGTTTGGCCCAATATTGAATATTTTATGTTAATGGCTGTCAATGAAGCACATGACCTTACTAGATGGACTGGACACTGCCAATAATGGAACAGCTGTGTACTGGCTTTGGGGGATCATTAAAAATCACAGAGCAGGCACAGGGAGGGCTATTTGCATGTAAATCTATGGGCCAACAGCTATGTCCCCTAACGTCTAACATATAGGGAGTCAGTTACCAACCATTGTTGCGTGTTCAACAGTGGTCAGAAGACCAGTATGCATCCCAGATTTTATCCAGGCATCCCATATTTTCAAGTACTTATGCCTACTGCCTCTAGCTGACCAATGCAATTCTTCAAGACTTTTAACATAATTCACCCTGTCACCATGGGTATAGTTGTTTCTTTCCAGAGCACTGGAATAAAGGCATTTGCTTCCCCTAGCACAAGCCACAGAAGTGTCCGTTAAGGTAAGTTTGGGAGGGAGTGTATCCAGCCTAGCAGGACCTGAGACAGAGTCTCGGTGGGTATGTTAAGGAAGTTCTTTTTAATAAGTTCAATAATTTGTGTTCAATACGGACGTATGGAGTCACATCGCCACCATAAATTATATAAGGTTCACTCCTCTCTGAGACATCGCCAACATACACCACTAACTCCAGGTATGTGGGTATGCAAGAATGAGGAGGTCCTGTACCACATCATTATCCTTTTGTAGTAAGTTTCTTGCCTTGACAGGCTTATGGAGGCCATCATAATTCTGCTAAAGATATATGCCCAACCACTATAAGCAATATGGAGATGCAGGAAGGTGCACTATTTTATTTGAAAAGGTGCAGTATTAGTGTGTCCTACTTTTTTCTGCATAAGAGCATACAATTGGGAGAGCGGTTTACACAGTTTGATTACATCTGTGCATGTATTTTCAAAAAAGGTTAGCTCTCTAGACTTCCAATACGGTAAGACAGTTTTCCCTAAAAAAACAACCAATTGTGTGTACAGTAGTATATAGTATCTAATAGAGAGGGTTGATGCCCTGGCCTTTGAGATCAGACAAGGACCGGAGAGAGTTACCTTGCAACATTGTGCCTATTGTTGCTGTCTTAGTTCTCACTATGCGTTGGAGTGTCCAAGCTCCTTGACGATTTTGAAACTCTGTGTTTCCATGCATAGGGCATAGGGGGGGATATATCAGGGTAAAACACATAGTTCCAGCAGAGGGAAGGAAGGGCCTGTGAGGTTCTGTGTTCCACCCACGAGCAATGCTCAGATACAGTGCAATGCTCGCAGGAGGACAGGAGAGCAGGCTAAAGTGAACATGCCACCACTGGACCAGCAGGGCTTGCGTCCTTATGTCCCTCCTCCCTGGTACTCCCTTACACACACACACACACACACACACACACTGCCCCCTCACACACACTGCACCTCTCACACACACACACACTACACACAAACACACACACACACACAGCATCCCTCACACACATAGCACCCTTCACACACACACACTGCTCCCTTGCACACACACTGCCCCTCACACACACTGGACCTCTCTCACACACACTACACCCTTCACACACAAACGCATACACAGCACCCTTCAAACACACATACAGCATCCCTCACACACACACACACACACACACACTGCACCCTTCACACACTGCACCTCTCACACACACACAAACAGTACACCCGTCACACACAAACACACACAGCACCTCACAGACACACATAGAAAAAAAGGAAAAAATAGATACATTTAAGTACATATTTAAGTACATAGTTAACCCTAAAGGACCGGACTGTTTTGGCCATGTTGTTTTAAATCTGATTTATTGGTTCATTCAATAAGCGGTCATCCCACGCAGGGGAGGTAAGCAAATCATAGTTAACATATGTCAGAGGCAATTACCATCAAGCATAGTATATGTCAAATTCAAACAGTCGGTGCCTGGTAGGGCGAAAAAGTTTAAGTATATTAGCATATGTTACGTGTATTTAATGGTATTGATTCTACGAATTATCTGCTAACATGAAGCATTATCTAAATATTCAAATAAAGTATACAGCAGTATGTTGAACTTGGATTACTTATGACAGCGACCAATTGATCACAATATGAGCATGCCACGGAGTGAGTGCCTAATCATCAGAGCTGTTAGCCTATGTATGTGCCTCAATGTGCACGGTTATTTCTATTTTTATATTTTTATGTTTAGATTTAAGCATATTGGTATCCATCGGATAATGCGATTGCCTGACTATTTAGGTGAACTGTAATGAATAGCCTATTCATTCTGATGCTGACGTGCTCTATTATAAGCCTACTGTGCCCATACAGTAGCCTATCATCTCAATAGTGTTATCCTAACAGAATAACGGATGGTGCCTTCAGGTTGTATAACCTATATACTGCGATAATCTATATGACTGCACCCGGATAGGTCCTATAATCATATAAATCCACCATCATTAACTGAAGCCTGCAGATAATCTGATGGCGGCACGTGTCAACGAGGTGGTATGTTATGAAACAGGCATTGCGGCCCATGACTGTGTATGTTGACAGGTCTTAACCATATAGTTCTGTTATGGGAGCTGCATTACCTAACTTTAACCTTAAGCCCAATGGGGCAATGTGACCGAATACCATGGTCGTTTTTATACTGAGTTAATAAACGTAGATACCTAAATTTCGGCATGGGTCGCCATTCTCAACAGCTGAATATCCTGTGCATGCTGCGTGAGTTAAAGCCATATATTTGTTTATAAGTGGCAATGGTAACAGAGCAATCAGATATTCAAGAAATTAGAAATGAGAGCCCTGCAACAGCGCCGAATTTAGCTTTAGCAGGTAGGGCAGCTGCAGTCTTATTAGGTTTAGAAAAGGTGTTTAACATAAGCAATAAAAATAGATACAGAAATGAAAAGGCATTCAGCCCTTCTGATATCGTTAATGGCAGGCAGTATGCAGCTGTGAATTGCCTAGCCTGCGTTTATGTGTAGCTTAGGGTAGCGCTACTTCTTAATCATACTTTATGGACTTTTAGCTAGTGCAATATTTATTCTCCTGATTGTGCCAGCTGATTTTGGTCCAACCAGTTTACGGCCAGTCACTAGCCTAAAGTGATATTCGCTAAGATAGTGACCAGCTAAGACGAACTGTAGCAGGGCTCGATGGTACACCTCGCAACGTTTAGTATAACTATAGCGTTTACAACAGTATAAGAGCAGGACTGTTCGTAATGTCTGTCTGATAAGGGCCGTCCATGGCTTGGCCGTGGTGCATCTCCCGGGACGCCGAGTCTCCGTCAGTCTCCGCCTGGGCGGTCTCGGCCCAGCACCTGAGCCCTCCGCAATGCTGTGGGCACTCAGGGGCAAAATGATCCGCTGGACCCCCACACCTAGGGTCCGTAGGCCTCTCGCTCCTTGCACCTCCCCATCACCACTCCAGACCCAGTGGAGGTTGTGTCCCA